CGGCGGACCGCGTACACACGCACATGCACGCAGCGGGGAGCCACGGCCCAACAGCACTGGGGCCACAGGGGTCCTCGACCGACTCCTCAGCCATCACCCTTGTCCCAGTGCCCCGCCTCGCCCAGGACTCCTGCAGGCCAGGACGCCCGGGCTCCAGCCAGCTGCCAGCAGCCGCACGACTGTCCAATGGAGTGGCCTTGTATTGCAGGGTGCCCCTTCCAGAAAGTCACTCCTGCGGTGCCTACAGAAGGCCACGGCTACGTGTTGCTGTCCTGCACTCCCACACCTTCCTCCACACTGCGCCAGCATAGGGACCACGACGCAGCCCAAGTCCACGGCATCTCCCAGTCCTCGTCCCCCTCACCTTTGTACAAAGCTGGCACAGGGGGACGCTGTGGCCCTTGCTTTCCACCTGAGTTCAGGAGCACTTCCTCCTGGTCCATAAAGAGCAGAGGCCCAGGCCCCAAGCCCACTTCACAGAGGTGCAAGGCTTCACCCGAGTCCACCTGCAGACGCAGCCCAAGCAGGGAGGAAACAGAAGGTCGCGGGCCTAAGGCGAAGGGCCAGCCAGGACTCGGGCGTCAGGAAACAAGCCAACACATGAGCGCAGGTCACACCAGCACCAGAGTCGGGGACAGGAGCCCTGCCAGGCCACTGCCCTGGGCCAGACAACAAGGGAAGAAGATGGGCTGGCCTGGGTCTGACAACCAGGGACCTGGGTCCCCAATGATCAGGACCAGAGCCGAGCTCTGCTGCTGGCGACAGGAGCATGATGTCACATGCTCCTGACAGGCAGATGTAGATGGCACAGACACAAAGCAACCAGCATGATGAACCAGGTGTCCTGAGGGTCCATGCGCCAGCCAGCAGGCAATGTGGAGGCAAGGGAACGGCGTTCGAGGAGCAGCCTGGAGGCCGCGTGGCCATGATGCAGGGCGAGATGGGACTGGAGCAAGCCAGACACCCAGAAATGGTCAGGGCAGAGTGGACGCTGACCTGGCACCGGTGCCCAGGACACAGGTGAGGAACACCGCGGCATCAGGAGTCGGCTCTCCTCCCGCTCCCTCCCACAGAGGCTGGCCTCCCCGAAAAGCCAAGGAGCAGGGGGAGGCTGGGCCGCAGCCCAGCGATGAGCATGTGTCTCCCGCAAGGCCCAGGTCCACCCAGCACCATGACAAGAAAAGCAAAAGAACTCCACAGAGCAAAGAGCCCACCTGGGTCTCCCCGGAAGCAGTCAGACACTGAGACCACCTTCTTGCAGTCACACGTCACAGTCCCAGGTGGCAGGAGGCTGTTAGTCGCTGCGTTCCTAGAAGGACACCACCCTGGGTGACTTGGTCCTCACTGGACTAGTCCCTCTCTGCCACATTACTCCTTGTGGCAGGTCTCCACTGTCGTGCCAGTCAGACAGTGTGTTCCCCAAAGCCCCTGCGACTCTGCCCCAAGAGCCTCCAATGCATCTGTGTGCTGAGAGATGCTTGTCCCATCAGGAAGCCACCAAGAGCATGGGCTCCACAGCCGGCTACGTGGACAGGCCCAGCTGGGCACAAAGCAGCTGTGGGAGCAAATGCAGAAGTGAACTGAAGGAGCTGGATGTGGTGAGCCTCGCTACTGGAGAGGCTGAGGCAGGAGGATCACAAATCCAAGGCCAGTCTCAACTACTTGTCAAGACCCTGTCTCAAAATAAAAAGGGCTGGGATGTGGCTCGGTGGTGGAGCGCCCCTGGCTTCAATCCCCAGGACCATGAAACCACAAGCAGCAAACAACAAAGTAACAGAATGGAAAAGCAGGAAGAGGCGATTCCTAGGTAGAAGAATGGGACTCTAGAGCCACCCCTGGCGACCCCTGAAGAGAAGTAGCAGGTTTTCCTGGTGCCACAGCCTCATCTATTCCCTGGAACCACACCTGGGAAACCCAGGGCCTGCCACACCTCTGACATGACCACAGAGAGGCTGAGGAGACACCGGGCAGCGAGGCCCACACCCACCCGCTTCCATCCCCCAGCCGCCTGCCCTGGGCAAGAGCAAAGCTGCTTCCTGCAGCAGGGATGCCTGCACCGCGGCCAGCCCACAGAGCCCCGTCACACCATGGTTGTCTCTGCCCTGCACCCATCTCCTGTGCCACAGCACCCAACCCCAGCCAGGGCATAGCTGTTTCTGCCAGAGTCAGGCCTTGGTGCCCCTCATCACCCCCTGAGCTCTGGGGCCTGGGCTCCTTCCCCCCTTAGCATCCACTCTCTGGGTGCAAGGCGGAGGATGGTGGTGGAAACCCAGATGCTCCTCCTGGCCTGGCAGCGGACACAGGCAGCAGGCATCTAGGGGACCGCATTCTCAAGCAGGGGCTCAGGTGCTGCACGCTCATCAATGTTAACGGTCAAGACCGGGGCTCAGGGCTGGGGCGCGGCTCAGAGTGGGGCACTTGCCTGGCAGGCTCGCTACTGGGAAGGCTGAGGCAGGAGGATCACAAACGAACAAAAAGCCCTCAAACAGAAGTGTTCCAGGGCTGATCTCATCAGAAGATGTGGCCGAGCCACCCAGCACTGAGCTCGCTCATGCCCGCCCTGCTGCCTGGTGAGAAGGACAAGGAACTCAAGACAGGGACAGCACCTTCCCCCAGGCTGAGCCTGTGGCCCGTGGAAGGTGTTCCATAAGTACCTGTGAAGTGACCGACTGTCCTACAGACCGCGCTGGGAAGACCCTAGCTTCGTTTGGGGTCTTTCTGTGATGTTCCCTGAGCTGGCCCCATGGGCCAGAAATCTTTGTGTCTAATGCATCGCGCAGTGGGCGTTTCAATGCCAACCACGAACACTCTGCAGGCCAGGAGCCAGGCCTGCGCAGAGCCCTCCATACACACCACGCCGCAGCCCTGCGAGCCAGCCTGGTGGGAGAGCCGGCTGGTTTGGTATGAAAACAATGAAAGCTGGAGAGGTGAAGTGATTCGCCCAAAGCCACGCAGCCAGCAAGTCACCCGCGACGACGAACATGAACAGCCACATGCCACGGAAATCCTGTTGCTGTGCTCCGAGAGCGATCATCAGTCCAGTTAGGGATGGATGTTCATTCAGAAGATTTAAACGCATTTTTTATTCTTTTTGATTCAAAGAAAATGTGTAAAACTTTATCTAGAGTAACTGCAGTGTCCTTCAAGTTAACTGCGATTTTTGGATTAAAAAGATGCAAGTGAGAACACCAAGTGGTGAAACTTAAGACAATCCACTCTAGACCAAAGCTCTCAGGCTCCAGCCATCCCAGCGCCCTGCTGTTCCTGCAGCACCACCCCATCCAGCCTTCTCCTCCTGGCCCCGAGCCTCTCCAGTCACCCTGAAGGGCCTCCTAGGCCGACACCCACTCCCTGGTGAGAGCTTGGGCAGCTCCTGATGTCAGATGCTCAGAACTTCAGGGGACATGGGTGGAAATGCTCCACTCTCACAGAACAGAGGGAGGGGGCATGCACATGGAGATTCAGCACTGTGGCCCGCACCAGTAGGCCCCATTGGCCAGGAGTTGGGACCTTGAGCACCATGGTGGTGTCCTCCAGACAGGGGCTGCTTTCCCTGATGACAAACCAAATATTTTAGCCACCGCCACATGAAGTTCTAAGCACCCTACATTTCACATGTTCGGTGTCCAGGCATGTTGACTCCACAGTGAACGGTGACCTGCTTGTCTGGTGGCACAGCTAGAGGTAGTGACCAGTGCTGAGAAGAAGCCATGGGTCCCTGGGACCCAGATCCCAAACAGAATGATAATGCAATGTCCCTTCTGGGACCCGGGCTGGCACACCCTGAGGTTCCACATGTGCTGTCAGACCCCAGCGTGCCATCTGAGCCCACAACCCCTCTGCGCCTCTGTGGCCCTGGCGGCCCCTGTCACTGCAGGAGGCCTGGCTAGAGGAGGGAGGGCCAGAGGGCTAGGCGTCTCCACGGGGACAGCCACACTGGAGCACAGCTTGGTGGGGGGTGGGGGGTGGGCAGCAGGTGGCAGACCTGAGACTTCAGCAGGTCCGCTGAGCCCCGCTGCTCCTCCTGTGCCACCACGCTTCCACCCAAAATATTGATTCTAAAATGGAGGTTAATTATTCAATTTCCAGAATGCCCCGTGAGGACAGCCCTGGAGAGCGAGTTCTGCTCAGACATTTAAAATGGGTCCCCTTGTAAAGCCTCTGCTCCCACGTCACTTCCCAGGAGAGGTGGATTAGAAAGGTGCCCTCCCCCAAAGTGGCTTTTCTTCCAGGCCTGTTCCTCTGTCCTCCCTGGAAAGCCAAGAGCCACAGGGAGACTGCTGAGGTCTGTGGCGGTGGCAGCCCACTCGCCCCAGAGAGCCAGGCGGGCTACCCTGCAGGTGCCCTGAGGGCCACCCGGCTGCCCATTTGTCTGGAGGACTCTGGCTTCTTTGCATTTCTCACTAAGCCTGAATCGGGCACAAAGGGAACTGAGAGACAGACGAAGAGTGCACTGCCCGCCACTCTGGGCACTGTCCTCCCAGTGACAGTCAAAAGAGGCAGGAGCATGTGAAGAGCAGTTCCCAGAGCCCTTTACAGCGCACTTCAGCAAGGCGTTTCAAAGGCCATAGCAGGTGAAATGCCGGCTCTAAAAGAAACATCGGGCAATGGGCCTCACATGCGCAGCCTCAGACTCTCCGCTGCAGACCCATGGCCGCCCCACATGTCCTTAAGGACTCTGGTGGCCTCTACCCACCATGGGGCACAGGCCAGAACAGGCCACACGTCTGCACCTGCACTTGCATGGTGCCCACCCAGCTTGTTCCACACCTGCACCTGGAGTCAGCCAGTACCATGATGTTCCTGGACAAGCTACCCACTGCCGTGTCCCCAGAGCCCACGCAGGGCAAGCATGACGTTCTGCTGGGACTATGGACAATGCAAAAGAGGCAGGCGGCTGGCCACACATTGTCTGATCAACCACAAAACGCCCGAGACGCATGTCCCAGGGGTGTGCGAGAGCCACAGCCCCTCCGGGAGGTCTCCAGGGAACCCCTCACCTCGGGAGTGTTCTTCTTGAACTCGCGGCTCTGCTCGATGAGCCGCTTCCTGGACTGTTCGCTTTCATCCTGACGGTTCGCCAACACTGTCGCGGTGGCATCGAGTTCTCTCTGTGGAGGGACACAAGAAGGAAAACAAGGATTGTGATCGTACTTTCTACCAAAAGGGTTCACATGTCCACCTGACCAGGACACTCAACAGAGACCCCTGGGGCTCCGAGACACCCATTCATGGGCAGAGGAGGGACTCGGGCAATGAGCACCATCCCCCTGCCCCACAGGCCCTGGCTGGAGAAACCCAAGCTTGCTCAGCCTGCCACGCTCACCACGCTATTCCCCACGCACACTGCCCAGTGGCCATGCCTAGAACAGCACACACAGAAACAGCGTCTCCACCACAACCAATGTCGGCAATGCCTTCCTCCGAAGCAGCTCAGGATGCTCTGAGCAGGCCTCTCGGGCCACTCTCCTGAGTCCCAGTCCCCTGATGAGCACAGCACTTCCCACCAGGGCTTCTGTCTTGCTGTCCTTCCGCGGTGCGGGCCTGGGATCTTACAGTCACATCTGATTTGCTTTCATTCAACAAATATTTACAGGGAGCTTAACTCTGGGTCAGGCACCACACTCAGAACAATTAACCTGTTATTAGTTTTCAAGAGGGACCTTTAAAAGGCAAATTCTAATATAATTATTTCCAAAATCTTGTAAACTTCCCAGAAGCAAGGCCCCTAAGAGGGGCAGTGACTCTCAAGCAATCTTACTTGCCCTGGACAGACTTGGGGACCACTGCAGGGGGTCTCCAGAAGAAGACCTGCCCGGGTGGAGGGTGCTGGGCTCTGCTCTACTCTGCAACCTGACGCTGGTGTCAGGAACTTGTGCCCTGGCCTCAGGGATTCTGGGGGGAGCTGCCAGGAGTAATGTAAAGCAGGCTGCGGCACATGGGCCCAGAAGTGGGGCTCCAGGCACGTGGCAGGAGCACAAGCCACGTGGCTGTCACCAGTCAAAGGCCCACCGTCTCCTGAGTTGGTTCAGTTACTGAAGCTGCAATGGCAGCTCATTCTACGTTGGATTCAGATGGTTGCTCCAAGTGGCCTCTCGAGGCAAGGACCGGCACGCCCTGCAGTCTAGCAGAGCCAGGATCTTGCTGAAGGCTCAGAAAGGCCATGAGAACCCACCACTGACCCCCCAGGATGCCACAGTTAAGGGTTTCTCTCCGCCCACCTCCTCAGGTTCCCGTGAGTTTCCTTTTTGGTGAGAATAACCCAGTGGGCCCCAAAGCCCTCCTGGTACCACTATGGGGTGGCCCACAGCCAGACAAGATGACAGAGAGCTGGGACAACCACCCAGCAGGCTGTCAGCTCTGGAATCGTGGACCGTGGGGGGCGGGGGCACAGGGGCTGGGAGGGGAGGTGCCGCCACGCCACACTCCCCCTTTAGCATTTCTGGCATTAAAGCAAAACTTGGGCAAACAAGTCCAAGAGAATATCGTGGGCTAGCGTTCGAGAACAGATGTCAAAGCTATTGCAGAAAAGAGGGAAACACTGAGCATTTTGATAGACCACATTTGAAACGCATCCCAGTCGAGGGAAGGCAGGGAAAAAGAGCAACCACCACGCATGTGGGAGAGCGGGCTGGGACGAGAAGAGGAGCCACAGATACGCAGGAGGCGCTCGGAAATATAAACAATCTGGCGAGGAGGAGGACGCAGACGTCTATATTTAAGCAGCAGCAGAAGAAGTTATAAAAGGAGGCTTCGAGGAGGGGATGAAAGCCAATATTGAAATATGACAAAAACGAAGGGTTGATGTTTGTTCCAGGCACACACACAGAGGACCAAGAGAACGACACAGAGCCCCGGCGCCTGAGCCACCAGGAAGTCCACCCTGGTCAGCCACCCAGTCGGGGCATCTGCTGGCTTCTTCAAGACACTGAGGTGCCGGACTTGGGGGGCACAGGGGGACTTGTGGGATCCCAGCCTTCCTTCCTAGTGGGGAGTGTGGGTAAATGACTGAGGAATCCCCAGAGTGAGGGGTCTGCAGGCCCCTCTGTCCCTGGGCTCCCCGTCTGGCCTCTGGCTCAGGGTTCCTCCCTGGGCAGGCTGGCTGGTCAGGAAGCCTGAGTTGAACAGGTGACAGCGGGCAGACCCACCTTGACCCTGGCATCGCAGAGCCAATGCACCGGAGGCCACCTGCTCAGGCAGCAGGGCCTCTGCAGGGCCCCCCACGCGCCCTCCCCATGCCTGCAGACACGTGCAGGCCAACAAAAGGGGTCTCCAAACTCAACAGCACACTGCCACCTGCCACCACAGAAACAGATCAGCAGAGGAAAGGAGGGAGCCTCAACCGCCCGGAGAGAGCTGGTGGGATTTAAGGCTCACAATCTGACCAAGGCCCCTGGCAGGGGGCCGGGGGAGGGGGGGACCACCGAGTCCTTCTGAAGGAAGCCAAGGTGCTGGTTCCCAGGCTGTGGGCACAATGCAGAGGGAGGAGGCACCTATTAAACACAAACTGGACATGTCCCCCTGCCCACCAAGCCCACCTAGACTCCAAGTGCCCAACAGGACAACACTTAACAAGGGAACCTTGGGTGTTGAGGGAGGTGGGTGGGGGCCCAAAACAGACCCCTTAGCCCAGGAGTCACAGTCACGGTAAATGGGAGCAGAGTGCCCACATCGGAACGGCCTCAAGTCACACAGAGCCGCAACACCGGGACAGCCACAATGCCCCCCATCAGCAAATCTGGCCTGGCCACTCAGACTGCAGGACGATGGTCTGAAAAATACGTGCTGTGTAGGAAGGGACGGTCAACAGGACATACTCAAGCAAAAAGAGCAAAGTGTCCAAAGGTCAGCACTACTTAAAAGGTCAGGAGTGCCGATGCGTCCACCAGGACAGGCTCCAAGGGAAGAGTCCAGAGAAACGCAGAAGGAAACTTGCACCCCCGGCTCTCGGGAGGGACGGCCAGTCACCTGCCCTGCACTGTGTGCCTTCTGACTGCTTTGCCATGTGGCATATTATCTAACAAGGAAGAAGGACAAAATACATTAACTTTTAAACCCTGTCGCCCCAGGTGCTCAGGAGGCTGAGGTGGGGGATTGTGTGAGCCCCGCAGCTAGAGACCAGTCCAGGCAACAGGGGCTCAAGATTCTGTCCTAAAAAAAATCCTATCAGTGTGAAAACACACACACACACACACACTGACAGAAATACACATAATGGCTTGGGCACAGTCTCATGGTGCACAGCCACAGAGAGTGGCAGCCTGGAAGGGATGATCTCTTGATTCTGGTGATTCAAAAAGGGAGGTGTGGGCTGGGGGTGCAATTGGGTGGTGAGCATGTTCCCAGCTGGCAGGAGACTCTGGGCTCAACCCCTGGCATTGCAAAAACAAACAAACAAAAAACCCTGAGGCGGGCACATCTTTTATCACAACAGCTATTCCTCATTCAGTGTGCTGCCCCGGGGCCAGTCAGGGGTAAGGGAGACAGTTACAGAAAGCACTCTTACAGGACAGGGCAGGAGGGCCCTGGGGCCCAGGACCTTGGTCCCCAGTAATGACAAGCTGGCAGGGTTGCCAGCAGCCCATGAACTTGGAACCAAGCATTTCCAAAGGGACCACGTGTGGCCAGGATGGGCACCTGATGCAGGTGTTTTGCAGTTCAGAGCAGTCACTGGATGGCTGAGGTAGGGTGGCGACAAGATCCAGGGCGAGACTGTGGCTTTTGGAACCATGTGGCCCCAAGAAGCCGTGTGGCCAGGCCACTGGTCAGGAGTTGCGGGTGTCAGGCCCAAGGCGGACTCTCTAGAGTGGCTCTCTTCACCCCTCGAGGTGTCCCCACCAACCAGAGCTGGTGGCCCTGCTCATCCTCAGAAGAGCTTCAGAGGCCATGGCCCAGGCTCAGCACCATCCCCTGGGGAGCAGATGGGCCCAAGCTCATCTGGGAGCCCAAGGGAAACATGCACAGAGGCCCTGGTTCTGTGCAGGTGTGTGGGCCCCGCCCAGGAGCCGTGCTGGCCACAGTTCTATGTGCCTTGCTGAGACAACTATCAGAAGCCTTCCCTCCGAGGACATACAGCTCCTACATCCTAAATCTCTGCAGGACTCCAGTCTCTCAGCCAAGTCACGTTCAGAACAAGACCAAAGAAAACCACCATGTAACTAAGCTATTTAAAAGAAATTTCAGAAAATGTTTTAAACACGGTTTTCATGATGTTACTGGTCAGTCTGGAATTGCTCACCTTCAAGGTACATAGGTCCCACAGGTCCTGTCGTGCCCCCCCCCCCCTTCTGCTGAGCCTCTTCCTCAGGCCCCAGGCCAGGACAGCCTCCCATGGGGGACCTTCCCAGGCCGGCAGAGGGACCTCCTCCCAGCCCCCGGGGCCACACACCAGCCACACAAGCAAGGTGTCCTCTACCTTGAATCCAGAGTTAGCTCAACAGCTGTTCTTTTGGTGACTGTCAAACTCATCCACCAACATAGCCCAGAGAGAAATTGTAAATGACTCTATTAGTGAAAACTAAGATGGCTGATGCACACAAGGAAAGTCCTAGGGTGTCTGATGGGCAGGCTTCAGGGCATCTTTGTTTTGTGCCCATAACAGCCTTTTGGATGAACAGAAGGAGGTCTAGCTAGAAAGGGGTGAGGGCCTCCAGCCTCCTCCCAAGACCTCTCCCAGCTCCCACTCAGTTCTGGGGCTGGGGGTGTGGCTCAATGGTGGAGTACGTGCCCACCATGACCCCTGGTCATCAAAACCTGTGAAGCCCTTCATACAATAGGTGCCAGAAAACCCCGAATGGAGACCCAGGCTCCACCCCATGGCCGCCTGTGGCTGTGGCCAGATGACCTGCCTTCCCAAGTTGTGGCGTGGTGAATGCTGTATCCAGGCTAATTTTCATTACCACCAGAGTCCCACACCTGGCCTCAGCCCTGAATTCATCCTGCCACCAGCATCCTCCCACCAGCAGGGTGGGAGCTCCAAGGGGCTCCATTGAATCAGACAACACTACCTAGAGGGGACCAGGGCATAGCAGTGACAAGGCAGAAGGGCCAGGCCAGGGGGACAAAACCCAGAGGAAGAGGGTAGAGAAGACAGACAATCCTTCTAGCAAGA